TTGGTCTTTAAATGGCTTCACTATGATATGATGTAGATCCAGAGATGTGAGCATTTAAATTAGGCCTACTTTTTTCAATATTAGTGATTTATAATTACCTTGACAATTTTATTTGGGCTCTGGAATGCTGCTAGTGTACGGTAGGCTACATAAAGGTAGGCCTAGGCTGCACTGTGAGTGTTAAGCATTGACCACGGCCCGGAGCAGGGAGGGAATTGTTATGCCTCGACTATATATTTCTGTAGTCGAGTACTGTAGCTAATAAATTAGAAAATAACACTTAACGGTACTGATTGCTCAACCAAACTTGGTCTAGGAAACAGGCTGGTGATAATAGGCCTCGGTGGTATGGTACATTTTAATGCCAGTACATAATAGTATTTTTTACATCATATGATGATCATTATCCTCGGCAGCAACTATAAACATCCTATGATTTAATATTAGATTGAAAATAACTGTAAAATAACACTCTTGCAATGAATAGGGGGATTCGTTTTCTTTTTCATGCTGCGATAACATTTGCCATGAATAATATTCTTGACTTGGGCCTACTGTAAGTACCTCAGCCGGCGACGACTCACTGCAGCAATATGCACGTTGTGAAGGTAACGTACCTTTCCTTGAAAAATTTCCAAGCCTTTATTCCCACTCCATTGGAGCCTTGCCAAACCAAACCAAACTGAAAATTTAATTTTGGAACACTTCAAAGTGATTTACCAAATTATAACTCCAACCAACCAACATTTGCAACATCAATGATGTGACTTGCATCAACGACAAGGCGAGGCCATATTCTGTCATCTCGCGATCTTGATAGATGTAAACCAACCCTTATATTGAAAATGACCTTACCCCAGCTGTACTCAACCTACAGTAGGACCAAAATAAAGCTTATATGTTCCTCTATCTAAATATATCAATAACTCAGTTTTCATTTTTTGTACCACTGTAAGACTCATTTTGTCCGACAGCTCACATATTATTTAAAGATTGAAATTATTTTATGAAAAAATAAAAAGTAGACTACATATTTTCAAGAATTTGGGTCAGTCAATCTAGGGCCACACAATAATTGTTTTCACTTACTGTAAGTCTTGTATTTCAATTAAGTTTGAAATGTTATTAAAAAGTTGTCTCATTTTCCCACTGGGACAAAAGGATGATCATAGTAAACAGAGATCACTGTAATCAGTAGCATATATCTAGAAGTCTTGAATGGGGGTGCTGATGGGTGGGGGAGGCGTGAAGGTGAAGTGAGGGCTCGATGATCTGTTGAGGGCCGCTAATTCACAAAATAAGGTGATTTTATTTGATTTTAACCACTTGACCATGATTTTGCGGGGGCACAACAATGGGAGGCGCAAGTAATTTTTGGAGAGGCGTGTGCCACCTGCACATCCTCCTAAGATACACCACTCACTGAGTGTAATACCAATGCCGAGCATCAAATTTTGCAGATTTTTTGTGCAATTTATTATAATGTTATTAGATGGGTCTCAGCTAATGTGGGAAATCACAACTTGGGTCCCAGAGAAAAACAGCTTAAGAAGTGGGGGAGGGATGTAAGGTACATTATTAAATGTTAAATAATGTTGGTTGGGACTCCAGTAAACTACTTTAAATCCCTTGGAAATGTTAAATTGTGAATACTGAATGGTTCTGCTATGCTCCTAATATACAGTACTGGCCCTAAATAATTCAAGAGAAACTATATAGGCCTTGGCCCCTATATACCTGCAGTCAGATTAGATACTGCAAGAATCTTCAATCCACATCATGCTAGTGGGAGACACTAGGTTACCATAGATTACTTGAATTCCATGCCTAAAATGCACAGAGAATGCTAGAATGAATATCAGTTCAAATTTTATTTCAGATTTCCCTGTACATACACAAGAAAAATACATAAAATACAGTTAAGCAGATAAATTATTTACAGAAACAGCACAAACTGTTGAAGTGTCTCATCCAGGATATGATGAATAATAGTAGGCCTACAATAGTCTACAACAACAGCAAGTGTTCGTCCAGTTCATATACATTTTTGACTCATACATGCAAGATTTCAAAACATCATTTAAGAGTATTGTTACTATTTATCATTCTGTTCATGAAACCATGGTAGTTTTTTCTATAGAATTCATAGTAAGATGGAAAATTTCTGTTTACAAACATGACTAGCACTACAGTGTCTTGGTATGAAAAGACTATTAACAATCACCTAATGCCTTTATTTCTAGTTTATTTCTCACATTATCATTTAGGGTACACTAAGTTACGAAGGATATGAATCCAACGCCTAAAAGGCACAGAGAATTCTAGAACGAGTATCAAAACACCATTTTTAACAATCAACTGCCTTTATTTGCATTTCTTGCATTGTTTTAAAATTACATTGTATGTTCAACTAAATGTCACATGATAATACTTGTTTGAGGTCGTCGATTGTGTCTATTGGTAAAATGTACTGATATAATTAACAGTGAATTGTTACATAACAAACTTAAAAGAAAATTAAAATGCGAGTCAGAAAAATAACCAGTAATGTAACTTTTGTGGAGAGAGGGAATTTGCACAATAGGAATGATACAGACAGCTCTATCACAATTGCACATGCAAATTCTAACTTGCCTGTCACTAAAATTCAAGAAATAATTTCAAATGAGCCTCAGAAAACATGTGTTTTAGTAGTTAAAAATTTGTATAAAAAATTGTTTGACATATTTGTATATTTTAGAGATACCAAAACATAAACGTTTGTATATATGGTAGCCCTACTTTCTAGTAAAACACTCATTAATTGCCTACCTGCTGATGGAAAAAAATGGAAAGATAGTATGATAGTTTCTGTGTGGAGCTATATTGTACAAACATGTTTAAAAGAAGGATAATATGTGTACTGTTGTTTAGATATAGACTATTGTGCATCCAATCCTTGTGAACATAATGGCACTTGTATACCTGCTAAGTGCAACTTCACATGTGAATGTACAACGGACTACAGTGGGTCATTTTGTGAAAATTTCGAGATTCAATCTAGTGAGTAAAAACATGGATACTGCTATTGCTTGTGATGGGCTGCATTCATGTCACATTCATTGTGCTTTGTATCGCTTTAAAGATGTATTGTCCACTGAAAATGAAAAAAAAAAAACATAAAAATTAATTTAGAAAGTAACTTTCTCATTTTGCAATAACGTACAATTGTTTAACATGAGCGTAGAAATGATTGAATTTAATAAATTTGTTCCCTTATTTTTATGCTTAATAATGCTAATAAAACACTACCACTGACTGAAAGTGCTCAATACACAATTTCCTTGTTCAAAGTTGATTATTTTTATGTTACAAAAATTATTTCTATGATATTTTTTGGTTATTTTTATGGGTTAATGCATCTTTAATTAAAAAGAAGTTTGCTTCAAATCAAAAAGTAATGAATAAATTATTGTACATTTGTGTCATACTTGTCTGTAGTCATAACTTTACTCACAACCTTACGCTAACATTGCATCCTGTCAAGATTCGGACCCATACCATCCTAAGATATAGTTAGATGTATGTTGAATTTGTATTACGTGCTTTGTAGACTGTTTTGTGTCCTCTATACCTTGTTTGTGGTATTTACCTTTGCACATTGGGGAGGGGATAAGGAAAGACACTGACAGGAAATACAGTAGAACCTCGTTTTTACGTACCCCAGTTATACGAACCCTCGGTTTTACGTACGCCTTGTATTGACGATGATGTCATCAAGAACCCCGAAAATATTCAAAACAAACAGCCCTTTCCAGAGCAACCATAAGTAAAAAGACTATGTAACAATAAACTAAAACAATAAACAAACCATAATGCAACGTATTTTCGTTAAACAGCAACGTTGATTGAGTAATATCGGGTTGTTATAATCTAAAACCACGTGAACTTAGTGAGATGAACAACTACCGATGGTGGTCAAAATAATTGCTTTCCTCCTTAGCTTCGTGTGGCAACCATAGAATAACTTGTCTGGTCGAATTTTCTACACGAAGCTGAGTAGACATAGTTTCATACACGATCGCTAATTGGTTGGCTCGCCCAGAGCATAGCACATGGTTGCTGTTTCACGTACACGAACACTAATTGGTTGGCTCGCCCAGTGCAGCGCACATGGTTTTAGTTTGTCTCAACAGGCCCAGACAATAACACAGCTCTGTTGTTTAGAATAGGCATGAAGGGGAATTCCTAAGTTATACCTTTGTCGTATAGGTAATCTTACAATATTTTCATGTTCTTTAGTTAAATAAAAGATATAAAGTGATGAATTAATACACTAGACACATGGTTTTATTTGAACACTTTATTATGACATCGTAAAGTGATGAATAAAAACACTAAACACATGGTTTTATTTGTAGGCCTAGAGGCTAGGTCTAGCCTAGGTAACATCGTTCGTTCATACATACGTTTATTGAGCGTTACGTACGTATTAGGTCAAAGGTTACCACAAATTTAACCCAACCTCTATTTTACGAATCGCCCGATTTAAGTATGCCCTCCGGTCCCGTACCGTACGTAAAATTGAGGTTCTACTGTACTGCTATAAATAGATATATTTTGTTGTATTATGTTCATTTTGTACTTGGATTGTAATCTAGAAAATGTAATTTTGAATCTAATCCATGTAAGAGTGGAGAGGACAAGAAAAAATGTATAATTTTAAACCAAGAGTTCATAAAAGTCAATAATGTGTAGAAATATTAGTAGTTTCAATAATGTGTAGAAATATTTAGTTCAATTTTTATATTTTTTCTCATGAATTGATTTGCCTTAAAACAAATGTTGATAAGTTCCATAGGGATTATTTTTTATTATATTAATAAACCAGTACTCACTGTTTTGACAAATTTGTTGGTCATTAGAAAGTATCTGAATATTTAAAAGTTGGTTTATTTCTGCGGCCAGACCTTTGTATTTGTATTTTAAAACAATATTAATAATTCAGTCTTATTTCTTAGCACCATGTAGCTTATCTTGTCAAAATGGAGGCACATGTCAAATCGTTAACGATACTGAGAAATGCGTATGTCCAACTGGATTTGAAGGGCAATATTGTCAGCACAACAAAACCCACAGTGAGTAGCCCACACTTACTGTAGATGTTTATACTACTGTACTGCTTTTGCATGGTTTGTACAAATGAAAAGCTATAGAATCCACAAAATAATGTAAGCGTGAGCAGCTCAATAGACCAAATTACTTAGAACTTTTCAAATGAGATCACAAAAGCACCAAATTCCTACAGTACACTTATGCACTTAGTGTATATTAAGTTGACCATTAGGTTGGCGGGTAATTTTATAACAATTATGTATACACATTCAGCCTACTCTAAATACTGTAATTTTGTATGAAATATTAAAACTATTGCACTAAAAGAATGTTATTAGAATGCGAAATTAAGATACGATTATCTTGCACTTACTGTAGGCTTTGCTTGATGATGCTATGCTCGATTTGTACTTTTGCTTTTAGTTCAAATTTACAAATACAGTGTGATTAAGGAGTTTTAAATTGGTATGTTGATGTAGGAGTAGTATAATTTGAATCCGGATGTGTGGTCAGCATTGTGGTGAAAATTATGTTATTGATTGTTTATTAATATTACTCTAATAATAATAATATTTATTCGGCAAAGTAAAAAGTATACATACAATATTCTTGCCAGGAGTTAGTAATAGGCATAAGCCCAAACAGTAAACTGCTCTTACTCCATTATCAAAAACAAATACAATTACAATACAATATAGATATATACAAAAAAGTAAATTCAAAATAAATTGATTTAACTATAACAAAATGAAAAACAGAGATAATTAATAGTTATTATTATTAATATTTTGAGATCAAGTGTTTTTTGACCTGGGCTTTAAAGTCCGAAATGGATGTACATTGTTTAATTTCATTAGGAAGTTGTTCCCATAATCTAGGAAAAATAACAAAAGATGAATTTAAAAATGTAGTAGTCTTGGCTTTCCAATGTATTAATCGCCCTTCACACCTTTCACTTGATCTCACAAGATTATTAAACGACAATGGACATTGGCCATGCATTATGTACATTTATGTACATTATTGCAAAACTGCTAGTACATTTTCTTGTGGTAGTAGTGTTTTTTATAGAAATTTGTGTTGTATTATGCCTGTCCATTATTAGTTTTACAGTACCATGCTTTCTAGTCTGCACATTGTGTTTCTGAGTGTTTTTTGAATTTTACTTACTGTAATTGGAAGGGAAAAAAATCAGGGTTTTTTCCAATTCCAAATTTTTACACATACATAAAATAAGTCTAGTGTTTCCATAGTTAGGCAAATCCGAGTTCTTGATTTACTGTTTCCTTTTAAAAAAATTGCTCAAATGAGAAATAATATGCAATTATTGTCAGCTGTCAGCCAATATTTTCTTTCAAAATTGCCTTTGGCTTTAGGCAATTTTTTCAGGAAATTCATTTTCTTTAGCTTTTGGTCTACCATCTTTCCACAGCTGTCATTGTAGTGCTAGGTGTAAGTAAGAAATGCTATCATAGAAGCTAAATATTTCTTGTGCAGTTTTGTTTGACCCGGTTTACAGCAAATTACAAAATATAAATATACACAGAGCACCGTAAATAATGAAAAATAGGGACGTTGCAGAAGCCTAATCAATGCCCTTTAAATAAAATATAAGTATAAAAGGTAAGAAAAGAAAATTCAAGTAATAATAAAGATAAAAATTGATAAAATATAATATTAATAAGAGAGAATTAATAAATAAAAATAAATTCAAGATTTAATAATTTGTTTTATCTAGCTTAACAATACACTTATCTAAATACTATAAGCCGATTGATTCAAATTGAGATGGATGATGAAGTAAAAACCATTCTTTTATATGATTGTATTTTTTTTTAACAGATTTGGCATTTGGTTGAAAAAAATTACATGGTTTGGGATAGAAAACTAAAGTTGGATTTACAATGATGATTTCAACATTGACTTTATACAATTAATGCCATATTCCATTGTGTTTCTGATGTATTTCCTAAAGTTTCCCTTGGTAGGATGATTTCCTGTTGGGTAAACATTCTATTCATTCTGGTAATTCAACCTTTAATACTATAATGACTACTTTTCAGTTAGATTTAATAAATACCAGTAATATTTGGTAGAACTCTTCTCAGTTATTTTTATATGATTTTGGCTGTTGGCACGAAATTGAAATCCCACAAATAATAAATAGGGCTTAATTTTTTTTTTTTACTGTATAATTGGATAATAATAAATAACAATAGGTTACATATGCACCAAATACATCTCCAAAGTAACATGGTGTATACCAAGTCTATAGTGTTTACATTTTGATGTATTTACTTGGCTTAGATTGTATTATGGCATTTTCTTTATTCTAGTGAACAGTACTTTGTACTATGAATTGTCAGGGAAATACCGCATAGGGACCATCTCAGAAGTAAACTTATAGTTTAGATTTGGATGTTCATGATAAACTTAGCTGTATGAGGAAATGAGTTGTTGCTTTACATGAAAAAACCAACAAAACTTACTAATTAATAGGATGATTTTGATGTTATATAGTGTGACTACTACTTTCCGATATTCAAATCTCTGGGCTGCAAACCAAAATAGCAACGATTATGTAAAACTAAATATTTTTAGTATGTAACTCTAAGCCATGAAGATTCAGTATTTCAAACTTCTGTTGGGATGAAGATAAGCATCAACAATTGTGACAACAATAGTTTTAACTTTTACTTGGTGTGCAACAGAGGCAAGTGGGTAATAATAATAAATTATTATTTTATGTGCATTATGCCAAAGATTTCTTTACAGTATTACCCAGTCTTCACTATTGCACATGTCCAAACAGAAGATACTAGTAGAATGTATGCTTGGGGAATCTATGGAGGGAATGAGGAGCAGGACGCGATTTTTTTTTCCGTACGAAACATTTGCATGAAACTTCACTCGGGCCATCTCGGATTGACTCGACTCGAGTTTGATACGAGGAACAAGAGCAGACACTTCGCAATTTCGTGACGCTGAGTTTTACTTTTGTTGCTCTTTCTATGTTTACCTACAGTAGGCCTATGAAATCTTACGGATTTATGGGATGTACGTGTGTAACTAACTGTAACCTTCTTGGATGTTATTAAATGGTAGTATAATATCTACAACAACAACAGCTAGTACCCACCTTTATAAAGTGTAGATAGGTACACCAAAAGCTGACAGAAAGAAGATAAACTACAGGCCTAAAGCAGGCTGAGTTAAGTCCTACCTACCATAGGCCCTCCCTAAACTAGGCCTAGGTCCCTAGGCTAGGGTCCTAGGCTGACACCAACAGTCACGCTTCACATGACGTTGATTGAAATTTTGAAAAAAGGGGAAAAAAATTGAAGCATGAAATAAAAAATAGAGTGCATAAAAGAAATATTATTAAATAATAATAAATAAAAAAAAAAGCGTATATTTTTAGTAGTTAGTAGGCCTAGGTAAATATGCAAAACCCAGATCTAACTAAAAAAAAAAAAAAAATTGTCACAGTATGTAACTCAAGTTCAAATAACACTTTCATTACTCGTGCAGCCCAATCAAATATTATGTCATTTTAAACGACCCATTAGCATTAGCATGGTAACATCAATGTATTTTTAAAAAATCAGACAGCGACGTTCTCTCAGAAGTTGTTTTGCATTTTGTAGACGTTTATCTGTTGATGACCTTTTGACTTCCTGAATTCTGCAATATGAGATTTTCGGCCCGAGTCGATTCGGTCGAGACGGCCCGGGTGGAGTTTCATGTAAATGTTCCGTACGAAAAAAAAAATCTCGAGCAGGACCCCGTATCGAGAAAAGATACACCCTACTCAGGATATTAGGATAGTCTCTGTCTCTAGCCCACTTATGCTTTGTTGGGAACGAATGGTGGGTCACCAAATTAGCTATACTGATAGGTTCGCCATATCAAAAAGTTTGAATACCAAAGATTTGGACTAATTGATCAAAAACATTTTAAATAATGATAAACATTTTGATCCCCAGTTTAAAAATAAATTTTCTAAGACAAACAATTTTAAACAAGGAATGCTACAGAAGAGTCCAAACCAAGTTGCTGACTAGAGCCTCGTTCATGGTACCAGAATAAAAATTCCTGGTAGGGTTCACAGGGAGAGTTTTTAATGTCTTCACAATATTAGGGATTGTCAATCAAAATTAATGTTTTTTGTCGTAGCGTTGGATCACGGGGCCGGCCTGTCCTGGATGAGGGGGGTTGGGGGAGATAAGGGAGGGGCTAAATGTGAAGTCAACCCTTTACTTTACCTAAGCTTGGAATTTCAATATTCGGTAAAATATGGTAGAGTTGGGAACTAAGCACAATATTTTTACAAATACAGGTATGAAAAGCATTATAAAATTAGTGAAACTAGTTGAAAGGCAGGGGTAGGCATTAAAATGGGTCACAAGTCCAAAGTGAATCTTTGATTTATCACCATCTGGCCATATGAAGTGGCCTACAGGCCACACTTTGCACAGCTGTGTTGTAAGGTGCAAGACTGCACTGAAGTAGTCAGTTCTCTACTTTGTATTCTTAAAGATTTAAGTTAAAGAAATGTGTTTATCCCAACAGCTGGCCAAATGCAGGAAGAATAAACCATAATTTTTAATTTTGAAGGACATAAGTAATTTTTCGTATCATACGGACAAGGAGTAAACTTTCCCATACTATAATAGAAATGTTTTACTGACATTTCTTCTGTAATTCTGTAACCATGCTTTAGAACTTTTACTTTTTTATTTTCTTAGCATTTTAATGTTTATTAAAAAACTTAATATAATTATGCATAATTGCAAATGATTTTTTAGATTCACATTTGAATTTTCATTGAAAATTGGTAGAAGTTAAATATTCCTAAACCAAATTCCTAAAGAAAAAAAAAAAACGTAGCTGCAAATTATAAATCATTTTGAAATAGGATGCTTAGAAGCAAATCAGGATAAAGAACAGAAAGAAGGAAATGTTAGATTGAAGAACTTGTTATTTGAATGTTATTTTATTACCTTGGGCATGGGGCCACACA